GCCAAACTGGACTAGGTGGATCCTAATCCAGTAAAGATCTGATATCCATATAAGAAGAGAAAAGACACAGAGACAGACACACAGAGGAAAGAGGCCAGGAGAGGTGGAGGCAGAGACAACAGTGATGTGTCTGCAAGCTGAAGACTGCCAGGAACCACCAGAAGCCAGGTGTGGCAAGGAACAGACTGTCCCCCAGAGCCTCAGGAGGAAATACGTCCCCGCTGCCACCTTGATTTTCGACTTCTGGCCTCCAGACCTGGGAGAAAATAAATGTCTGCAGTTTTAAGCCAGCAGGTTTGAGGTAGTTTGTTACAGCAACCCCAGGAAACTAATACCCTGTGCCTGGCCTGTTCCCTGAGGATGCACCCTGCAGCCCTGGGGATACCCCAGGTAACCTGGCCCTTACCTGCAGCAGCTAGCTCCAGCCAGGTGGGCACGCCTTGCCTGCCGCTGTCACACTCTGGCTGGCTGCAGCCCCTGCTGCCCACTCAGACAATGCTCTGCTGCCCAGCGCTTCCTCCCTCCACGTGGCTCAGAGCCCCAGCAGCCTGGCTCAGGGTCACTGCTAGTAAGATCCCCACGCTCTTGGAGGGCGGCTCTCGGCTGCCTGAGCAGCCAAAGCTGCCTCTGGGAAACTCCCAACCTGGGAGGCTGGGTGGAAATGGGAATTACACTGGGGCCTCGCTCCTTGGTTGTGTGACCCAGGGCAGGAGCCTTTTGCCTCCTCTGTGAAGCAGACGGGAGGACACCTACCTGGCTGTGTCGCTTGGGGATTAAGTGAGTAACAGGTGGGCAGCCCCCAAGATGAAAGTCAGACCCTTTTCCTTGACCCCCTCTCACATCACCTGCTCTACCCTGCAGCAGATCTAGGTGAAGTTTCTCAGTTCCTCAGCCCAGGGAACTGCCCCCATGGCCCTTCGCACAAAGCCACTGCAGTTCTCTCAGTCTTCCCAGCCCATCCATAGGCTGCTGGGACACAGGAGCTGGTGACCACAGGCCTCATCCACCCCTAGGAGCTGTCGGCCTGTGCTGTCCCCAGCCATGCCAGCAGCTCAATGGTGACAAATCACACTCACATCTAACCTATTCCAATCCAGGATAAACAAATAAATCTCAGGGAAAACAAGAAGCCAAGAGAAAGAAAATTACAATGTAGGTAGTGAGGGTGATTTACTCAACACCCTACTAGATGACCACAAGCCCAGAAAGAGATGATGAGGAAGGTGGCAATGCTGATGGTGACGGTAATAGGAATGATGGTGGCGATGGTGATGTAACAGTGGTGATGATGATGGTAATGATGATGATGGTGATGACGATGTGATGGTGATGGTGACTGTAATGATGATGGTGATGACAGTTATAATGATGTGATGGTGATGATGTCATGGTGATGGTGATGATAGTGATGGTGATGGTGATGGTGACGGTGTTAGTGATGATAGTGATGATGGTGGTGATGACGTGATGGTGATGATGGTGACGGTGATAATGTGATGGCAATAATGATGATAGTGATGATGGTGATGGTGATGATGGTGATGATGATGGTGGTCAGGATGATGTGATAGTGATGATGGTGATGATGTAATGGTGATGGTGATGACGTGATAGTGATGATCGTGATGGTGGTGACAGTGATGATGATGGTGATGATGATGGTGGTCAGGATGATGTGATAGTGATGATGGTGATGATGTGATGGTGATGATGGTGATGGTGATGGTGGTCAGGATGATGTGATGGTGATGATCTTGGTGATGATGATCACGATGGTGATGATGGTGATAATGGTGGTGATGGTGATGATAGTGGTGATGGTGATGATAATGGTGATGGTGATGACGATGTGATGGTGATAATGATGATGGTGATGATGTAATGGCGTTAGTAATGGTGATGGTGGTGATGGTGATGGTGGTGATGCTGACAGTGACAGAAGCTAGATTAGATTGATCATCAAAATATACTGGCACTGAGCTAAGAGCTTTCCCTCTACTTTCTCATTTCATCCTCACACCCACACCAGGATGCACTATTATTATCATCATCCCAGTATTAATCCCATTTCACACTTGGTAAAGCAAGGCATAGAGAATTTAGGAACCTGTCCGAGGGTGTCGCAGCTGGCAGGAGGCAGAGCTGTGCTGGAATCTTCCATCATCTCCACTCATATTCCTACCTGCACCTCTGAGCCTGAGCATCTTGCTCCACTTCAGTGTTGAAGGCTCAGCATTCTACACCCCACAGATTCCTGAGCTGCAACCCTGTTTTCTCAGCTACTCCGCCGATCAGAGGCTGAGGCAGAAATGGCTGAGGATCACATATAATGGGCAGTTTAGGGAGCTTTCAAGGAAAGTGTGACTGTGCAGGCCAGGCTGCAGTGCGGGCTTGAAAGCCGAGCCCCACGTGAGGTGCAGTTCCCCTGAGCCACTGGGACTTTTAGAAGAGGAAGCATGAAACCTTGAGAAGGTCACAGACACACACTGACAAGGGGCCAGTGAGCTGATGGCATAGAATCGACTAAATCCAGCCACCGTTGCTGCCCCAAGCTTCTCAATAACAAACTCTGACCCCAGGACCTCGACATCCAGGCAGCAGGCAGGAGTCATGGCTCGGCTCTGGCCATGTCCTTTTGCTCCTGGGATACTTAGCAGCTGGTGCCTGTGGTGACCTCACTTAACCTCCCTGGGTCTCAGCTTCTCCATCTGTTCAGTGGGTAAACAGCCCCTGTCTCACAAGGCTGCCCTAAGGATTACATGAGAAGGCAGAGTGGTCAAGACACGAGCAACTGCTTCCTAAATGCATAGGTGCTTGAGCTTTCTCCCAGATAACGGTCTTGAAGAAACAGCAGGCAGCTATTTCTGAGAAGCGTCACTGTGCACAGGAGCCTCCAGTGCAGCCTTGAAAGCCAAGCCCCACATGAGGTGCAGTTCCCTGGGCCACTGGGACTTTCACAAGAGGAAGATAGGATGAATGGAGAGATTGGGGGGACTTAAAGTAAGACTTTAAAGTCTAAAGTCTTAAATGTAGGAAAATTACAGAGAGTAATTTTAAATGACAGTTTCCATCTATGCACAATTTATTTTCCAAAATCACAACAAGATGCCAATGCTGTACAGTTTGTTTTCCTTTTATCTGAAGAACATAAAGAAGAAGAACAAACAGGAAATTTACGAGAGCGAGAACGGGAGGATAAAACAGTACAAATGTCAACTGTGACCACGAATAAAGCCGTTACTAAGATAATTGGGACAAGACACACGCCATTGTCCTGAGAAAATTCAGACCACTGAAGGTTCCAGGTAGTTTTAAATGGATTGTCCAGGTTCGAAGATAAATTTTATTTCAAAAAAAATGAGCAATCCTCTTTGGGCTAAGGTTGCTCACTCGTTTTTTCCTTAAATGCAAATTGAGCCACAGGGGAGAGGCAGGCTCTGGATCTCTTTGCAGGAGCTGAGTTAGTGTTCCCACTGCAGAAGGCAAGCTGCTCTAGTGGAGATGATAAAGCACTCACATCCAATTTTGAACACATTCTAGTTCAGTCCCTTAATAGCTGTGTGACGACAGCTAAAATATGCTGTCGTCTGAGCCTCAGCTTCTTCAAACACAAAAGGAAGACGCTAATACCACCTGCCTCCATGAGCATTAAATCAAATAACGTCTTTGTAAACACCCAGTACAGAGCCGAGCACATGGCAGGAATACATAGAATGTAAGCTTTTATTTACTCTCTGCTCAGTCAAGTGAATCAATACATGTCCAGCCTGCCCTCCAGAGTTTAAGAAGCTTGCCTAAGGTCACACAGCAAGTAAATATGCAAACCAGAAAGGGACCCTACCCTGCGTGCTCTCTACTCCACCATCCTGGGTCCCTCCTGTGGGCTGCTGTGGAGACTGAGGCTACAGAGACCAACACACCTGGACCCTGCCCTCAAGGAGCTCACAGTCTAAAGAGGGAAAACTGAAGACGCATGCACAGAACTGCCACCAGGGAACTGTTGTCACCTTTGGTACTACAGGTGAAGTGGGAGAAGAGGTGTCTGCCTCCAGAGGAGAGGGACTGGAGTTTCCAAGCACATAAGAGTCTCATGGCACAGCACGTTGACAATCTTGTCTATTGCAGGGCCTGGCACTCATCAGGGACGAATTGGATGGTGGACAGATGGATGGACAAGAGTGAGTGGACAGTGAGGGATACACGGTGGCTGGTTGGCTGCCTGGCCAGTGGCTAGAGAGATAGATAGATGAAGAGGTGGGGAAGATGGTGGAATGTGGGTAGACAAGTGGGTGGGCGAGTGCTAGGGTCTGAATGGCTGTGTTTCCCCTAACAAATGTATGTTGAAATTCAAATCCGCGGTGTGAAGGTATCAGGCGGTGGGGTCTTTGGGAGGTAATCAGGTTGTAATGGTGGAGGCTTCATGGATGGGATTAGCACCCTTACTAATTAGTGTGCCAGAGGACTCCCTCTCCCTTCAGCCCTGTGAGGACCTGGTGAGAAAGAACCGTCTGTGAACCAGGAAGCAGGCCTTCCCCAGACACCAAACCAGCTGGTGCTTTGATGTTGGACCTCCAGTCTCCAATGTAAAAAATAAGTGTCTGTTGTTTATAAGCCGTCATCTATGGTATTTGCTATAAAAACTCAAACAGTTCAACAAGCGGTTTAGTAAGTGGATTCATAGGTGGCTGATTGGACGAGCAGGTGTTAGGATGAATGGGAAAAATGATGGTGGGTAGGTGGGCGAGTGGTTGGATAGTTGGATGGTGGATGACAGGCAAGTGGGTGCGTCCGAAGATGGACAGGTGGGTGGACACGGTTGGTGGATGGGTAGTGAGGCGGGCGTGCACTGAATGAGTGTGTGAGTTTAGATGGGAGGGTGGGTGGATGTGAAGGACGAGGGACAGGGCTGGCAGGGCTGGATGTGTGTATGACTGACCACGTGGCTGGAGGAGAAAGAGAATAGCAAGAGATCACTCCTGCCCTGGGTTCCGGCCACTTACCAGGTTGCAGTGACCAGCAGGGACCTGGGCTCCCAGCTCCTCTCGCAGGCGCTGGTTCTGCTGGGCGAGGTCCTCCACCTGGCCCTGCAGGCCGATCTCCGACAGCTTCAGTCCGTAGATGCAGCAGCGCAGCTCCTCCAGCTGCCCGCGGAGCCGGCGCTCGGTGGCTCGCTGCTCCCGCAGCCTGCGCGCCGCCTCCTCCCGCTCGCGCTCGCTGCGCTCGGCCCTCGCCTGCAGGACGCGCAGCTCCGCAGCCGCCTCCAGGGAGCCCTGGGGACCCGGGGCCGCTGTGTCCCACTGGGCCAGCAGGAGGCCCGCGGCGCGGCAAAGGCGCCGCACGTCGCGCTCCAGCCTCTGCACCTGCGCCCGCAGAACGCGCTCCTGCTCGCGCACCAGGCCCAGCTGGCGCCGCTCGGTCCGCCGGCAGCGCTCCAGGGCCGCCGCCTGCTGCCCCAGCGCCTCGTCCTTGCGCCGCAGCCGCTCCCGCAACCGCCGCAGCCGCCACCGCTGCCGCCTGGCCAAGCTCTCTTTCTCCCGGACCTACAAGTTGGCGGTGGATGAGGGTGTCAGCAAGCCCGAAGGACACACCGTGGCTCACATTGATCCCGTCTTGACTTAACATTTCCATATTTCGTGCATGGTGCGTTTTTGCATTTTGTGAATTAAAATAGTGCATCTAAGTGTTATCTCTGTTTTGGCAGCCTCTTAAATTTCGCACGGGAGCGAAGTGTCTTCGTCACCTCATCCTCCCTAGTCTGGGCCCTGCACCCTCAAGAGCTCCCTGAGTTCTGGAAGGGAGCTGTGCAGGTGGCAGGATGGCCATCAGCGAGTACACACCTGAGGACCACTGGAGATGTCCGGATACTCAATATGTCCGCACCTGCGTGCACACAGCTGCTCCGGAGCCTCCTGAGTGTTCCCACTTCCACCCCAGCACTGCCCAGAGATCCCCATTTCACACCTACAGGGTCAATCCCTGGCCCAGCCAGGGTCAGCTGGCCCCAGCAGGTGAGTCACAACACCAGTGCCACAGCAGTTGTCATGACTGTGGACACTCCACCAGGAGGGAGCAGCATTACTAGCCTGCAGGACATTCAGAAGTGGCTTGCATATCACACAGCTAAAATTCACTGCAGCCAGGACACCCAACACCTTGTGTCTGACTCAGCCCTTTTCTTTTTCTTTTGCTTTTTTTTTTTTTTTTTTTTTTTTTTTGAGACGGAGTTTCGTTCTTGTTACCCAGGCTGGAGTACAATGGCGCAATCTCGGCTCACTGCAACCTCCGCCTCCTGCGTTCAGACAATGCTCCTGCCTCAGCCTTCCGAGTAGCTGGGATTACAGGCACGCGCCACAATGCCCCGCTAACTTTTTGTATTTTTAGTAGAGACAGGGTTTCACCATGTTGACCAGGATGGTCTCGACCTCTTGACCTTGTGATCCACCTGCCTCGGCCTCCCAAAGTGCTAGGATTACAGGTGTGAGCCACCGCGCGGGGCCCCAGCCCTTTTCTTTTTCATCTGGCCACCCGCCTGACCAGAGAACACATCTGCCTCCTCCCACTCATAGGCCGTGAGCTGGACTGGGGTGCAACATTCACTACGAAAATGAGAGCCATTGTCTACTTTTCAGAATTAATTCAAGCAAACGGATCGAACTGCCTCTACGTTCATCTTTCTTTCAACTGCCAGCACTTGCTGCTGCTCTTTTGCCAGGGAGCTTCCAGAAAACAAAAACAAGCTAAGAGCAAACGTGAAAGAGGAGACCTGGGAATAGCTCAGACAAGCTTCATTTGATAGTTCTGGGGAACGTGGGGCAGATAAAAGCTGGGGTCAGATTCCCTGGGAGGAGAATTCTCCTGGTCTTCCTGAAGGCATGAATTCTGTGATGAGCTTTGCACGGTGCCTGGTGGAGGGCTTTCAGAGCCTGGACGGTCTGCCTTTGGCAGCTTTTAGAATGACGGCAGGTCACTACAGAAACAGGGCATCTTCATGTGCAAACGTTTACTGGAAACATTGACAGCAACGAAGCAAAGCTGCCATTTGGTACACATAGGTGCGAAGCACATGGAAAACTCGCTCATGCACTCTTGCAAAAGTCACTTCAAAATACGGATGTTTGCAGCGAGAGATTTAGGGTTAGAGGGTTAGGGGCAGGGTGGCTGCTGGGCCAAGTGGCAACTGAGAGACCCTGTCACTGTGAACATCTGCTGCCCATCTGGAAGTGGGGTTATGCGATGGATCTTTCCCAGGTGCATACATAGCACATGAGACATTTAACAAGAGGATCTGTTGGAAAAGGGCTTAGTGTCCCCCTGCAGAAACTGCTGGTTCCTGCAGTAGCTTTAACTCCCTAACAGCATGCCCCTTGCTGTCACCCTCATCCTTTACTCCCCATCACACTGTGAACATCATGACAGGGCTGGGTCAGATTCACCTCGGAAATCCTGCATGCACACAGGCATGGCTCAAAAAGTGTCTATGACAGCATTTTCCACAGAGACATCACATCAGTGGCGCTGGAGTCACACACGCCACTATACCGGACTTAAAAACGCCCCTCAGGATGGTAATGATGAGGTGCTATGAGCCAAGGAGGAGAAGCTACTTGATTTTCTGCACCTGAAGTTCAGGATAAAGGGGGAAAAATTCCACTCAGACATCTCCCTAGCAATTCAGGGACTATTTTCAATTTAATTGGAATCCTTATCATTCAACGTCCACTTCTATTTCACCCAAGACATGTGTCAAGTGCTTTTCCAGCTTTGTTGACAGTTTCCCACTATAAGAAACACACATGAAACAACCCTGAACATAACGCCCGCTATACACACATCTGTGTACAGTTGAAACAAGTTTCTCAAAACAGCACTCCCTCTAGCACATGCATTGTGCTTTTATGTTTCTTAGTCTGTTTTGAGTTTTAAGTGCTGGTTGTGAGCCTCTGAATCAATCTCACATCACATAGGTGGATTGCAACCTGCAGTTTTAAAATCTCTGGCTGCATTTTAAGTAGCAGCAGACTAAAACAGGATGCCTTCAGGGACCGCTGGGTACCGCATGCAGCTACCTTGGAGTTTTGCGGGTTTTGCCTCTGCAGCCTTTCCTAAAAGTAGCCTGCTCTCCAGCCCCCATCATCCTCCCCCTGAAAAATGTCAGTAATGGTTAACAATTATAAAAGCAGATAGTGTCATTTAAATACCTACTGTTGTGAATGTTTTACATGTATCAACTCAGCCCACACAATAATCTGAGGGGTTGGTATGATATCATTCCCACTTCACAAATGAGGAAACTGAGGCCCAGAGAGGTTAAGTCACTTGCCCAAGGTCACAAAGCTAGTGAGTAGCAGAGCCAGGGTTTGGCTCCAGGCTTCTGCCTCTAGAGCCCCCTCCCTTAACTGCCCGTTGTTTCTCCAGTAAGCGTTTGAACTTCTCCTCCTGCCTCTGCCATCGCTCTCTCTCATGCAGGGAGAATGGCACCCCCCAAATGACCATCTAACTCTGAGGCTTCCCTACTTAAGTCCCCTAAAGTGTGTTCCCCAGTGTCTTCAGAATTGGACCATGCAGTGGAGTTGGCCACCTGGCCCCTCTGGAACTTTCCCACTCACCCACTCTGTCCCCTGCATGGTGACAGCCTCTGTGTCCTCCCACGCCTCTGTGCTACGACCCATGCTGTCACCCACGCCTCACATGCCCTTCCCAGCGAGGCCCAGCTCACATGGCTCCAGCTCTCCGTAGCTCTCCTCAAATCCCCCAGCCCCTTGAACACACGCCATGGGGGATCCCTCACTCCCCCATGGCTCCCCACATCCAGGTTTAGAGTTATTTGTTTCTGATCAGTCTCCCCCATCTGCGTAAGAGCTCCAGATGCCAGGAGTCCTGCATCAGCCAACTCTCGTCCTCAGGCTGTGGTCTGGCGCTGGGATACTCAGGCACAAGAGCTTCCAGCAAGTGTGCAGCCTCCACAGTCACAGCCCCCACCCCCACATCCCTGCAAACCCCAGGCCCCGCAGTCACTGCATGCACCGTGAACTTAGGATCTCTCTAACCCTCCTGCCTGGGCTCTTCCAGGCCTGCCCTATACTGTCTTTGCCCAACTGCACTGCCACGGAGTTCCCACTGCCCTGATGGACAGGAGAAAGGGACAGGAAAGGAGAAGGGAACGGTACCTGGCTGGCCAGCTCCCCCTGCAGCACCGCCAGCTTCTCCTGGGCCTCCAGCCAGGCGCTTCTCTCCTGGGCCATGCAGGCACTCAGCTGGTCCACCTTCTGGAGGAGTTTCCTCTCTGACAGCTCCAGCTCCCGAATTCTGCAGCATGGAAAGCAGGAAGGCCCTTGCTCAGGTTGTAGTCAACAGGGCCTAAAGCTTTTTTTTTTTTTTTTTTTTTTTTTTTTGAGACAGAGTTTTGTGCTTGTTGCCCAGGCTGGAGTGCAGTGGTGCAATCTCGGCTCACTGCTACCTCTGCCTCCCGGGTTCAAGCGATTCTCCTGCCTCAGCCTCCTGAGTAGCTGGGATTACAGGCATGCGCCACCACACCTGGGTGGTTCTTGTATTTTTAGTAGGGAGGGGGTTTCACCATGTTGGACAGGCTGGTCTCGAGCTCCTGACCTCAGGTGATTCATCCACCTCAGCCTCCCAAAATGCTGGGATTACAGGTGTGAGCCACTGCACCAGGCAACATGGACTAAGACTTTTGCAGATACCAGGGCCAAATTACTATTTTATTATTTTATTTTTGTCATTTGGCCAATTCGATGTTCTGACAAGATTACATTTTATATAATATTCATGCACATAGTTCTAAAGATTATCTACAATGCTTCAAAGACATCATTTGAACAATTAGGTGCCATGCATCAGAAACCTTCAGTGTCCTCACGCGAAGCCAGTAACTGCAAATTCAAGTAATGCCAACTAAGAGTGCCCGAGCCTGAGCCATTTAGGCTAAGAGCTTTAACTCGGTGGTTTCTATGAACCCTCACATTACCAGCCTGCAGGTGGGTTCTGCTACCCCCACTTTACACATGAAGAAACAGGATCAGAGGGGGCAGACTTTTGCCCGAAGTCACACAGCATTATAGAATCGAGTTGGTCTTACTTCTGGACTCAGCCTTGTCACCTTCTGCCCTGCTGTCTCCCATTTTAGCTACATTCTTATAAATCTAAGGATATGATCGAAATTCAGAAAAAGGTTTCTGCAACTGAAAAAAAAATTAATCTCTCCATTACTTATTCTTCCAGGTGAGAGGCCGGAAGTGCCTTAACTGTCTATTAGGAATAGCTAAGTCCCAGGGAGGCTTTGCATGGTCTTGCAGACACACTGGGGCTATGTCACAAGCAGGCATGAACCCAGATTGGATGTGAACCCTGATGGCAGCATGTGAGAAAGAGACATGCACAGGATCAGGGGGAAAGTCCAGAAAGAAAGCCTGGGCTCCTGGACCCATGGTGGGTGGTGTGGGGAGGCACTGCAAAGACTGGCCTGTCTCCCACGGTGCCTAGTTTCCAAAGCCCCTTAATGTGCCAATCTTGCTTGTGTAATAGAAACCATGATTCATGTGAAAATGCATTCACAGCCTCCACGCCTAAGCTCTGCACATCCTCACTCCTTCCCCAAGTCCACGCTGGGTACCTGCACATCCAGGACAGATACTGCTGCCCTGGGTGAAGACCTAGCTTTGCCTGCTGGCACTGCCATTCACCAGCCATAGGGTCTTAACAGGGCTAGTCCAGCATGATGACCCTCAGCATCTTTATCTACAAAATAGAGGTCATTAACCTTGCTCAGCGGGTTTTCATGAAGATTAAATTACGTGATGTATTATTATTACTAATAAGGCCAAGAGTCCCCTCTCCTATTCCAGTTCTCATGCCCTGAGGAAGGGTCTCAAGGGTGGCAGACAAGACTGTGCTCTCAGCCAGGTGCAGTGGCTCATGCCTGTGATCCCAGCACTTTGGAAGGCTGAGGTGGGTGGATCATGAGGTCAGAAGTTTGAGACCAGCCTGATCAACATGGTGAAACTCATCTCTACTAAAAATACGAAAATTAGCTGGGCGTGGTGGTGCATGCTTGTAATCCCAGCTACTCAGGAGGCTGAGGCAGGAGAATCACTTGAACCCAGGAGGTGGACGTGGAGGTGCAATGAGCTGAGGTCGCACCACTGCTATTGGCAGGGCGAGACTCCATCTCAAAAAAAAAAAAAAAAAAAAAGAGTATGGATCATAATCAAGGTCCTTCCAAACTGGACCACAGGAGCAGCTCGTTAGCCAGAGTCAGGCTGAGCCCTTTCTGATGAGTTGTGCAATATGAGGAGACTGGCTAAAAAAAACCAAAAGCCTTTTTTTCTAGTTCTGAGATCCATCTATAACAATAAACATGCTAACAGTATTTAATTCTCATACTATTCCTAATCGTAAACTAAGCAGAAAATGACAAATTTCACTTTGGCAGGGCAAATTATGGCCCCAAGTTTATGCAGGCCCTAATCCCTGGAGCCTATGGCTGTCACCTTAAAATGCAAGAGAGACGGCAGACGTGATGAGAGAAGGATGGTGAGAGGGGGATATGGACCTGGATTAGCCGGTTGGTCTCAAAGAGCCATCACAAGTGTCCTTGAGAGAGCGAGACAGAGAGGGCTGACTCTCGGAATGGCCGTGTGGGCACTGACACAGGATGGCACACAGCCAGCTCCAAAGACGGAGGCAGGGCCAGGAGCTCTGAATGCAGCTCTAGACTGGAGAAGACAAAGAAATGGATTTCCCCTCCAGCCTCTGAGAGGGTTTGGCTCCAGCGACAGCTTCACTAGCCCAGGAAGACTGATTCCGACTTCCGGTTGCCAAGCTTGTGGTGCTGGGTTACAGCAGCTGCGGGGAGCTAATACACTCACAGATATGACATAGACAGTGAAGTACCTGTTCCCTGATTAAACCAATGACGAGTGTTTAAAATATGAAAATGCAGTGCTGTACAGAGTGCTAGGAAAATAATAGGCTCCGTTATGGCAGAGGGACACACGGGCCGGCGTGGCTGCAGAGACACCTTCTGGGTCAGGCTGCCTGGGTTCACGCAGCTAGGGTGGGGCCTTGGGTAAGTTACAGCCACCCGGTGTCTTCCTTTCCCCATCTCTTCAGTGAGGATGATGCTCTTACTGTGTTTTTAGCACTGTTTAAGGATTAGCTATGTTAATACTTGTCAAGCCTGTGCACAGTGGCTTGGTGCCACGCAAGTACTCCGTGAGTGCTTAGCTGTTATTAATTTTACTGCATTTAGATGAGAAACAAATATGCAAACTGATAGTGTTATGAAGATTTTCTTCCTGAAATTTCTAACAAGGCTGTTTCATTATTTTGAGAAGGAATACTTTTGTGCTTCAACTCTTTAATGAAAGTGAATCCAAGACATTCTACCAGGCTTTCGCCCTGCCCCAGCTAGACCAAACACTGTGTCATCCACCTGAAATCTGCACTCAGAACTGTGCTTTTAGCAGCCCTGGATCACGTAGCGTTTCATCCCCTCAGCCTTAGCTTCCTCATCTGTCCAGGGAGATGATGTCACTCTGTGCATCACAGGATCCAGGAGGGTCAAGATGGGGCCGGTATGGGAGGGCCCAGCCCTGTGCCAGCTCCCTTTTCTCCTCCCCCGCCCTTCGCCTGCAAGGTGGTATACCCCATCTTTAAAGGGAACACAGGACTCAAGCCCACATTCCCCCATAGGCCCGGCCACAGAGGCCCCTCCTCCCCACCTCTCATGGTGTTCCCCTGGGGCTCTCTGTCTCCCCCTCCCATGGAGGGGTCTCCTTTGGCCAGGGTTCCCTGCCTGTCTTCCTGGGGTCCACTGATCTTCTGTTTCCACCACCAGCCTTTCTAGAACAGTTGAATGTACAATCCTGTATGGGCTGTGCTGCTAGTCTTTCAGGTGGGGGCCCTGCCTTCCCCAGCTCTCAGCACCCAGGACTTCTGTGATGGGCTCAACACGTCCCCCCAAAGTTCATGTGTTGAAGGCCTCACCCCCAGGTTCCTTAGAATGTGAATATATTTGGAGATAAGCTCTTTTAAAGAGTCAATTAAGTTGAAAGAAAGTCCTGAGCGTGGGCCCTGATCCAATCTGACTGGGGTCTTGTAAGAGATGAAGACACAGACACGCACAGAGGGGCGACCAAGCAAGGACGCAGGGCGAAGATGGACTCCACAAGCCAAGGAGAGAGGCCTCGGGAGAAGCCAACCCTGCCGACCCTCCATCTTGGGCTTCTGGGCTCCAGAAAGTGAGAAAATACATTTTTGTTAAGTCATCCAAGTTTGCAAATTATGTTATTTCATTATGACATTAATGAGGAAAAAAAAAAAGATTCCTGGCTAGGACCATGGTGTCTGTGGATTTTGCCCCCTCTCCCCATGTCTGCATGGGCTTCCTCAGGGTACTCCGGTTTCCACTCACATCCCACAACTGAGCACATTAGGTGAACTGGCATGCCCACATAGTCCCGGCCTGTGTGAGTGTGCGTGTGGGTGTGAATGTCCTGTCCAGGCTTTGCACCCTGAGCTGCCAGGAGAGGCCCTAGCCACCACCCGAGACGCTGACCTGCATCCATTGGGCAAACAATCATCTTACTTGTGGGGTTTTTTTTCTTTTTTTAGTCTTTCTTAAATTTAAATTTGTTTGAGTCTTTCACATTTATTTCCGTGTTTAACATTAGAAGTGTTTGGGGTCTTTATTTCAAAGCTTGGTGATGTTTTGGTGACCTGAACAAGGAAAGGAACTTAAGTCTTGTTTGTATCGATTAGCCCGTGATCAGATTATTTTTGTGGCCAGCTGTGGTGGCTCATGGCTGTAATCCCAACACTTTGGGAGGCTGAGGCGGGCAGATCACTTGAGGTCAGGAGTTCGAGACCAGTCTGACCAATATGGTGAAACCCTGTCTCTACTAAAAATACAAAAATTAGCTGGGCATGGTGATGGGCACCTGTAGTCCCAGCTACTTGGGAGGCTGAGGCAGGAGAATTGCTTAAAACTGGAAGGTGGAGGTCGCAGTGAGCCAAGATTGTGCCACCGCACTCCAGCCTGGGAGACAGAGTAAGACTACATCTCAAAACACAGCAAAACAAAAAAACAAATTGGTTTTGTTGTATGTTGCTTCACTTAGTCACAGTTTCCAAGAACCTACGGACAACATTCAGTGAGGACTTAACTGTATGTCATCATGGCAACCCAGGCAAACTAACGTAACTTAGTATGTGACTCTTGGAGGGTAAGTGCATTGCAGAATGAATGAAAGAATGGACAATCACACAGAGTAACAGAAGAATTTTTCTGATTTGTTGACTTCTTTATGCATAAAATTTTGCCAAAAGGAAGAAAACTAAACCACACGTGCATGCACATTCAATGGGCTGCCTTTACTGAAGCAAAGACAAGTAGAAGAAAATGAGCAAGTCCCACAAAAGCCCAAGGCACCTGCTGCTGGGACATGAGTCACCTGTCAGAATCCATCCCAGCCCCCACTACATGGGTTTCCTGATGTATATGCAAGCTTTCTCTTGCTGGCTTTCCTGATCTATATGCAAGGCCCCACCTCGTTCTGCCGGCCTGGGTGTCAAGACGTCATCAGGAAAGAGGTTGGGCTTTAGAGAAAGACCTGGATTCAAGTGCCCCAACTTGGGACCGTGTCAGCTCCATCGGGCAAACAGAGCCCATACCAGGAAGTTCTATAGAGATAAACGAATGCAGAGAACCTATTCTGAAGATGACAGCAGAGTCCAAAGGCCAGACAGAGATAACAGGCAGCCTGAATTAGCAACTGTCAGAAGCCACTTCTGCCCCTGGGGCTGGACAGCCACACAGGGAAGAGATGATGCAGCCAGGACACCCAGCGGGACCTGGGACCACAGAGGAAGCCGAGAGTACTTATGAGTTACAGCCACAGTGGGAGATGTCACTGAGGGGACAAGACTGACTTTGTTTAAAATGTGAGTCCAGCACGTGACTCCTGACTAACCCTAAGTCCACAAATGCCTCCAAGTTGTGGAGTCGATGTATCTCTTTACGTAGAAACACCTACTCATTGTGAGTTTCCTCCAAAACAACCCCTGTCCTTGCAGAAACCATAGGCTGTGACACCTGCAGCCACCTATGCATGCCTTCCAGAGGACATACGCTTTTGCCCAGGATATAAACCCTGGGTTGGGGGAGGAGGGTCACCTGCATGGGAACTGCCTATGATCATGCCTCCATCTGCAAGTTCCCCTAAAAACACCACCCAAACCGACAAACTAGGTTTGCCTATTCCTTTGATTTCTGGGTTCCTTTCTGTGCTCTGGGTCACTTTGTATACACAGCCCTTTCACGGAACAGTCACCCAGAGCAGAAGAGAGAGAAAAGACCCTGGCTTCTCCCTGCCTCCTGTGTTTCAGGGCCTCCTGTTGGCTGCACCCAAATGGAAGCCATTGAGCAGAGAAGCCTGGGCCGCCTCACCTGCAGGTACAGAGCAGAGGAAGGAGGGCAGGCAGGGCAGAGGGCAAGTGACTGTGCGGGCAGGTTACATGGTGAGCCGGTTTCCCCAGCTGTGTGGTGTGATTCACCACACCATGGTGACACACTCTGATAGCCCCGGGGTTTGTGAAATACACACAGAGAGATCAAAATGGCACCGCTACCTGCTTCTCAGCCCGGACTCCGACGTCACATACTTGTTCACCGCCGCTAACAGCTTCTGTTCGGAGGACTCTAGCTGCCTCCTGATCGCCCCCGTATCCACGTCTGGGCGACCAGATGCTTCTTCCGGAAGACATTCCCGCTCCTCAGCACTATCTTCCATGTCCTGGAATATCCAGGATGTGTCAATCTTCACATCAACGTTCATTATGTCGAACCCCTCGCTGCTGGGAGCTCTGATGATGTAGTTGAAACTTTTCTCAGTCCGTCTCTTAGCTGCTGGCTCCATCTCACAAACATTTCATGGGGCAAAGCTTAATAATAAAATTAAGTGAGTTTGCAACATTGACTTCTGGAGATTTCAAGAAGTGGTGGTTGTGACTTCAGATTGTTCAGGAAAATATCCTTTGAGAAGGGCAAGAACAGGTGGATTATTCATGAGTGGGTGACTTGGGTTTCAGCTGCACAAGCATCATACAATATGCATGAAAGTCTCTCATTTTACAAGTCAGCATGCCAGAACTCACACAAAGCAAGAAAACGTTGCAGAAAAATCGCTTGAGATAAAATGCCTAATGATGGGCACAGAGAGGAAAAATAAGATCTCCAGGTAAGATCATCAGACATTACAGACTCCCAACAGTAAATGAAGCTCAAGTTTTAGCCACATGATGAATAAGGTTCCACACCTTCTCCTTGAGCACAGCACATATTTTTCAAGGACCTAGAGTTTGCTAGAGGGAACAGGATGGGAAATTCATGCTGCCCTGGGTGCTGTCTGCTCCTGGGTTTTGGAGGGCCTCTCATGCCTTACCTAGTACAATTTTCCCTGTGACCCTGTGAAGTGGGTGTTAACATGACCATTCTACAGATGATCAGATGGAGGCTCTGGAAGGTGAAGGAGCTTCTCCGGGCCCCACAGATGGGATGGGAAGTAGCAGAGTCAGGATTTGAGGATGGCTCTGACTCCAAAACTGGAGAGTGTGTGTTCTGACACAAGAGATACAGTAATAGGTGAGCAACGAGACCCCAAAACAGGAGCAAATTCGACCTCTGAGCACCCTGAGGAGGGAGAGGAAGCTCGAGGCTGAAGAGATCATAGGAGGAATGGGAAACCGGAGCAGGGAGAGGTGGGGAGGAGACTCCCCCAGGCGGAGAGCATCCTCAAGCCGCAGCCCCACACAGGGAAGCAGGACAGGTGAAGGGAACGAGAGCACCAGGCTGGGCTGACCTGCTGGGCACACAGAAGGAGGATGTGAGGAGTAGGGACAGAGGAGGCTTGGTGTCATTTTGTCGCAGGCACTCAAGGAGTCTGGTGTTTCTGTGGGCCCCAGGGAGTAGGGAGGTGCCTGGTCAAATGTCATTCTGAGGATCGAGCACTCTGGATTTTGCAGGAGGGAGATGGAGGCAGCTGGACCTGTGGGAAGAGGCGGCACCACAGGCCAGGCTAGTGCAGAGGGTCAGGACCAAGACAAATGGAAAATAAGAGGCTTCCGTCTCCCTGTTAAAAATAAGAGACACCCCCTCCCTCTTCTTAGAGCATTTACTTTAGAAAATTTGTCAGTTCTTTCTTTGTCTTTTTGAAATATGTGCAAATCCTTTTTAAAGTGAAATAAGCCTTTTGCCAGCTTTATGACCCAGGGATGTTTTCCCGAAGGACCTGGAACCATCTCTTTGGGATGTAAATTCCAGGGACAACAGCGCCCCTAGTGGTCACTGGGAGGAAGAAGTCTAATTGGGCAGGTGCCCGGCTCCAAAATGTAAAACCTGTCTTAGGAAGTAACAGAAGGGTGGAACCCAGGTGCAGGGGAAGGTTTTTTCTTTTCTTTTTTTTTTTTTTCCTTTGTATAAAACAAATTAGTGAACACAGAGGGTCGTCCTAGTTGCCAGGTGAGTTTAGGATGAACCATGTGAAACAATGATGCCATGGAATCCTTTTCAGTGGGGATGAGTGTGACGTCTGTGCGTGTGGGTTGCGCCTGCCTAGCTATATAAAAGGGTAAGACTTCTTTCTGTCTTTGCAATCTCTCAGTGGGTTGCCTGTGATGCATGTCATGTCTTGGTTTTCTTTCTTTTCTTTGTGACGAGGTTTTCTGCCCTGGGAGAAGCTTTTGTCTTTAATCATATTTTCCCAACAGTGCCTAATGTCTGGGTGGCCACGAGGATTTGCCGTAGACCTGGGACGGTCAGAGGCAGGGCCGGGGGTGAATCCCAGGCGCTGGGACCGGGCTGCCTGGATTCCAGGCTTGTCTCCATCCCTTCTCAGATGTGGTTTTGGACAAATTACTTAACTTCTCAAAAAAAAAAAAAAAAAAAAAAAAAGAGAGGGTAAAAATCATGCCTAAGTGAAGAGCTATTGAGGAATAAATGAGTCGATCCCCGCAAAGCCCTCAGCAGAGCACCTGGCACACACTAAATGCAGCATGCTGTTTGCTGGGTGGGGGACAGACGTCACACTGTCCAGCCGTGTCCAGCTTTCATGCTACATGCCACACGATCCTAGGCAAGTGACTCGGCCCCTAGCATAATGAAACTTACAGTAGTCTGACTTCCCAGCAGTGACGATGACTCACTGAGCTCTGGGCAGTGGGTGGATGGGGTCGGTGGCCGGTCCTGCACCTGCACCACACCGTGAGCCCCCCGGAACATCAGCCATCAGGAGTCAGTGCAGAGCAGGAGGATTGAGTGACAGCTGAAGGCAGCAGTGAGAAATGGAAAACTTACCCCAGACCTACCAAGGAGGGGGAGGTGTTCCAGCCCTTCCCTGTGAGCAGCCCTGAGGGAGGACATGTCCTTCCTTCTTGCCTGGGGACAGGGAAGCAGGCAGGGCCTCTCCCAGGAAGTGTTTTCAGGCTTTTTAGGTAAGTGATGAAGGTTCTTGGGGGAAGAAAAAGGTTGAACAGAGGAAAACGTGGCCTGCCACGGGTTATCAGCCTCCGTGGTAGACTGGGGTGGAGATCTGAGCCTGGCGGCCTCTCAGACGTGGCAGGACCTCGGCAGGGGAAGGGGACAGATTGACGTGGTGCAGATGTAAGGATGGGTTCTGCCCCCTTGGGATCCTCGGGGAGGTTCCCTGAGGCTGAGGGTGGCAACAGGGAAGACACAGTCTGTGGAAGACAACAAGAGGCCCCGTTTCTGCTGGAACAACAGCCCCTGAGAGGTGGGGAAAGGCTGGGAAGGAGGGAGGGAGGTCTGGCTGTGTGAAGACTTGGGCTCCACCCTCCTACGGAGCTTGAATCTGAGGCTTAGAGAAGGGGCCTATAGAAGGCCCCAAGGGTCCAGACAAGCTGGGTTGTGGAGGAGGGAAGAGGACGCCACGATAGCACGTTTGGAATTTCCCATCCAATTTGGGAGACCCCTGGCAAACTCTGTTTAAATGCGAGAAAATAACCAAATATCAAACTCGCCATTGTTTGTCCTGGGAGTCTCAGGCAGGTTTGCTACTGGTTACAGAGGGGTTATGGGAGGCCGGGGAGAAGCAGGGGCCACAATCCTGAATGCTCCCAGAGGATAGAGGAGCAGCGGATGGGGGCAGATGTCGAATTCACTTGAGAAAGACAGGGAAGCCGGAGCTGAAGCGGGACGTGCAAGCAGCCCGGGCGAGCCTTGCCCCAGACCAGGGGAGGAGCCCATCTACCCACATGTTTGTATTTCCCCCCACCCCCGAGAGCCCAGCACCGTGCTGGGGGCAGGCTGGGTAGGATCTCACACCCTTGAGCTGACTCTCAAGACATCCACATGAAGCATGCAGCCTGTTTCACCTAAGGTGCTCAGCATGAGCACTGCACCGTCAGCCGAAACCCCAGCGGCCAGCTGGAGGCCCAGAAGGGAAGCGGGATTCGGTGAGAAAAGCCTTGCAGCCACAGGAGAATGACCTCCCCGTTTGCGCAGAGTCTCCTCCATTTTCAAACCGGAAGGTCTATGTTCCAGGAACCTCCCTCAGTCCTGGACAAATCAGCCTGGCTTGTCCCTGCACAGCTGGTCTCCCAGCCCCAGCCCTGACCTCGGCTGCTCAGCCTCCAGGAGGCTGCCAGGGTGGCAGTGCCAGAATGCAGTCCGACCCCTTGACTTCCCTGCCCCAGCTCCTCCCTGGTCACTTTCGGCCTATGGAGGACTGAGGTGTGGGGGTGAGAAGCAGACACCTGTGTTTGCACCATGGGCATCTCTGTGCCAGGAACCTTCAGGGCTGGCTCTCCGACGAACCTCCAGCTGACCTGTGCTAAAATGAGGAAGTTACCTTGGCTTCCCCAGACTTTGTAACTCTGTTGCCGTGGAAACCACATACATGTTACTAGGCAAGAGCATTCAAAGCCCTGGCGGAGGCACCGGACTGGGGCACAGGGCTGTGGGTGAGGGGTGAGTGCACAGCCCTCAGGCTCCCTGCATACTGGAGTCCTTGCAACCAGGACTGTGCCTAGCAGGGAGCCAGAAGCTACGGCTGGGACTGTGACAAGAGACACTGGTTCCTAACAGGGACTCTGACGTCTATGCAGGGAAACCCCCGTACCTGCCCCTGTGAGCCTCATGCCTCCTCCTGCACCGCCTCCCAGGGGGCCAAAGAGAACGGGTCCTGGCCCCTGGCCAGCTGCATGGATTCCTCTGAGGACAACTCCCAAGGCGAGAACAGCAGAGGCTGTGTCTCCCACCTGCAGCCACGGTGGCCTGCGGGAGCCTGCGGGGCTAACCGTCCAGCTCAGACCCCTCCCAAGGTCTCGCAGGGGAACTATCGCTACCATTCCTCAGAGTGGCAAGGACAGTGCCAGTGTCTGTAGCAGGAAGAGGCCAGGCTGGCAGGGCCAAACGGGTCTGATTTCAAAGCCAAGGCCATTTCTGTAGCATGATCTGATGGGAGAGCCCAGCAGACGCAGACATTGCCCTTTACCTGCTGAAGGACGAGGGCAGGCAGGCGTGAGGACCACACTCCTGCAGTGGCTGCAGGGGTGCTGGACCGACATTCCAGAGACCCCAGGGCACCCCCAGACTTCTGCCCACAGAAGTTAGCACAGCAGTGCCTCCAGTGCTTCCCGGCCGGAAAGTGTAGGTGTGCCTTTGCTGTCACTCACTGCGGGATCCCACACTCCCGTCGCCGCCTGGGCTGCCAGGATGCCTGTGCCTTCAGCTAACATCAGTTTGTTCGTATTTCACCACCAAGTGTTGGTAAGTCACGGAGGCTGAGCTAGCAGGTGCTTTGGGGTTTTGATTTCAAAAGAGAATGGACGATGCTGGGCTGCCCTGGTGCATGTTCGCTTAGAGCCCAGATCCTGGGATGTGGTGTGGGGAGGGTTGGGATCCCAGGATGTGGTGTGAACAGCTCCCCCTGGCTTCCAGGGCCCATTCTGCGTGGTTCTC